GTCGAGATGTCGCTCAGACGACAGGACTGCACGCCCTGGTGTGTTCAAAAGTAGGATGCTTGGTGAGGTGTTTTGTGCTTTGGATTCCCATTTCCCAACGAAGCAGCGGGCCCACCATGAGGGAGTTCTTGAAACGGTTGGTTTCCTGAATTGGCCACGGTGCCTTTGGGTTCAGTGAAACATGTGAGGGTTCTCGGCATGTCGCCGAAACTTGTATCACAGGCCTGCTCGGCTATGTCCATGCTCTCCCCAGAAAGGTGGAAAGACTCTTAAATTCGCCGCCTTGTCATGATTCTTCGTGGGATTTGCTTTAGTTCTTATTGTCGTTCGACACGGGCTTATGCAAAGGTACGGGTCAGGGTCCAAATTCCCAGCACTGTCTCAGAGGGTCCTTTGACATTATTTTACATGGTAAGCTGCACATGATTAGTGACTAGTGGGTTGGAGGGCAACTTTATTTGTAAGATTTATTGTTGAGGTCCGCCAAATATGGGTCCGACACGCCTTCTGCGGTGCTAGGAGTTTGGGAGGCGCTGCCGGAGGCAAGAAGAGAAGTCTTCGACAAAGGGGAAATCTGGGCCTGTGTTTCTGCGTTTCCTTGCTGGTGCGATAAGCAGGGAATGAGAAATGGAATGAGCCCCACACACCGTCTCGTGTGGGTTCCTTGCAGGGGACCCTTACTTCCACTAAGCACCAGCAAGTTTTGTTGCCCTTTCAGGGTTGGTTTCAAGCGAAACCAAAAGGACGACCGCCGTGTTTTGTTGCTTTTTGACAGGTTACCCTGCGGTTGGGCATGATTGCCATTCGCCATTTGCAGGCTATTTGGCGGTCTGAAAGAGGAGCTGTGCTCTGTGGTCTGTCATTGCCATTGAGCCAAATACCTCAAAACCCATGCAGATGAAGGTTGGTGGGAGACTTCCATGCCAGAAGTAGGTGAGGAGAGGCGGGCTTTGGGTTCTTTGCCACTGGCCTTGGTAGACCCTGGGTTTGATTGCGGACTGATTTGGCCATCAAAGCTGATTTGGGTGCCAGGGGTCCTTGTCTTTTGGTGAGAATCATGGGCTGAGCCCGCAAAGTTTTCGCTCCAGTGAGGAAGCTGTTGTCTATGAGGCTTTTCAAACAGACCGCGGGTGTCTCTTGCCCGTGAGGCTCGGGAGCGCCGAGGCCGGGCTGAGCGGCCTGGAATTTAGCAGTCTTCTTTGTTGCGAAACGAAGCATTTCTCGACCGGCAAGCTGCTCAACTTGTTTCTGTCTGGGGGTCAAAGAACAGCCGAGTGCCTGTTCAAGTTGTTTATGTTTGGGGTCAAAGACCAGCCGAGTGCATGATTATTTCCTTTGCAACCAGCAGTTGGACTCGTTGCAGGGGGTTTCCAGACCACCCCGCTTCATTTGAATGCACTGAGGGGTTGATTTTGAGATTTCCCCCCGGCCCTACTGCGAAAACCGAGCCCTCAAGGTTCCTTCCAAAAGCCCCGTTTGGATGCACCAAGGATTTGATTGCTGTCTGAGCTTCTTTTGGATGCCATGGTTAAGACCGTGTATAAGGGAGCTTCTCAGGACTGGAAGAAACAAAACAGCTTGTTTGTGCCCCCAAGAGTGCAGTTTGGATGCTTGGAGTATGAAAAACTTGCTTTCAGGGATCTTCTTGCCGCCAGAGTCTCAGAGTCTTGTTCCCCCAAACCTTTCGACCTTGCCTCGCTGCTTTTGACCCGGACATGGGTTTGGAGGTGCCCTTGAATTTCCAGATGCTTCGGCTGGCGAGGCTTCGTGCCCAAAGAAGGCACTCGACAAGCCGAGGCGGGGCCAGTTTGAAGGTTGAAATGAGCTCGCCTCACAATGTGTGTTCTGCCGCCCGCTTCGGTGTTTAGCACCCAAAAGGGCCTCATTCAAAACATCCAAAAAGGAAGCCTCTTGAGGCAACCAAAATTGGGATTCTCTTTCCCTGAAGCGGATCTTCATTCCTTTCATTCGCTTTCCCTGAACCCCGGAGAACCGAGTTCTCTCAAGTCCGGTGGAGGTCTACCGCCAGCTGAAGCGCAGCGAGGCGGAGATGCGGGCGGAGCTGCGGCTCCTCGAGGCGAGGCTTGCGGTGCCGAGGTCGCGGCACCGCGGTGCGGTGCCGCGTCCGTGAGTTGGCCCGCATTGCCCAGCGGTCCTAAAAAGTCCACGTGTTTCATCGGCGGGTTTTGGATTGGGCGGTGTTTTCTGCTTTTTTTTCAGCCACAAGTTGGCAAGTCGCCAGGGGGAAAATTCGCCGAAAGCAGCGAGGGTGTGCTCATGGTGTGTTCCTAGTTTGTTTTTGCCACGATCGACACCAGGGTAAGTGAGTTGACGGATACTTAGATCTGAGCCAGGTCGACCCAGTCATGATTAGACAGTGACTCTTTGCGCTTGGTTTCAGGACCGCCTGGTGCTACGCTGCCTGCACTGTGGCTTTGTGGGCACACCTCCGGGGCCCGCCAATGGGCCGGCGCCCCAGGGGAAGAATCACGCTGACAAGCGTCGGCTATCGTCGGCTCGTTCGGCCCGGTTTCCCCCTGCGCTGAGTCAAAACAGCCAGTACATGTTTGGTAGATGGGGTGGCGCCGCCGGCAATGTGCTCGATTCCAATCTGCCGCTTGGCAGCCGCATCCGGCTCGGCGCACACGCTTAACCGGCCAGCGGTATACAAGAGCCTTGCATGCCAGGTCGCTGGCCTCCGAGTAGCCCTGGTCCCTGCGGGTTCTGTGGGGGGGGGGGGGATAGGACGCGGCGTGCCCAGAACTGGCGAGAAACGTGCGTTGGGGGTGCAGGTTGGCAGATTCGAAGCCCATGCGGAACACGAGCCACGTACACGCGGCCAGAGCTGTGGACTCAGCCCCCTTTTAACACCGAGCTGCAGACGCTGCCCCCTTCGAACAGGCAAACTCACTGGCACGGTGTGCCTAGGTAGGCAGGGGTCAGCCACAGATGTGTGAATGTACGCACGCACACCTATGTAGATTTGTTTGCTCTTTTTCTCAGTTGCGAAGGTTCCGAATAGACCGCCTCAGTCGGTTGGGCCAAGTGCAATGCTTCGCTGGGAACACAGAACGCAAGCTCGACATCAGCGTTGGGATGCCTGAAGAAGAGGCGAGGACTCTCATAGCGGCACCAAGCGCACCCTCGCAAGTCAGTGCACGATGGCCGCTGGCCGCTGTGTACATTTTTGCAGGCTGCTGCGGGGTTGATCGCTTTTGTCCCCCGTGCGTGCGCGAGCTTGGTGGCCACATGTCGCTGCGTGCCCCAGCAAGCGGATCACTGAAGCTGTCAGCAAATGTCAGCCACTCGCATGCCAGCCGCTCAGAACCTGCCGTGAAGAGACTCGCAAGCAGGAGTCGAGTTGTTGGCCTTCGAAATCAAAATCAGATTTTAGATTGGGCCACCGCGGCCTTTGCAGACAACATGTGAATGCCCTTTTGTTTGAGGACCTTGTCCCCAAGCAGCTTAGCTGCTGGGCTTCTATGCGAAGAGTTGCGCCCAGTCATGAATTGGTTCCCAGTTGCTTCGATCTTGTCTGCCCACTTGCTCCCCGCTTGTCTCCCTCGTGCTAGCTGACACAGCTTGTCCCCCTACTTGAGTCCCTGCTTGTGATAGATTGCCAAAACGGACCTTGTCGCTGCTAGTCTCCGCACTTGTCTCCCGTCTCCTTACTTGTCTGCCCACTTGTCTCCTTGCTCGCGGATGTTAAGATGTCTTGTTTTCCTGTTTGTCCGCCGTTTCCTGGTTGAGAAGCTGCGCAAGTCAAGTACAACAATACAGGACCAACAAGACCCATCATGAACGCATAACCATTGCGCAGATTACATATCGCAGTGGCAGCGATACCAAAAGGTGTGCAGATTGTGGAGCATTCGGCCAATCTTTATCAAGCACACTGCATGGAAGTTTGGATGCTACCCATCGTACGTTGGAGTTCTCGCTTAGCAGCTTCTCAGCCGTATGAAGCTCGGTTGTTTCTGCGGGTATTATCGATTTAAGGTGTCACCCTGCCCCACCCACGCATCCACCCAACCACCAATTACTCCCCACCACCACACCCACCTACCACCCTCAGCCACCACCCGGCACAACAGAAATTCCAAGACACCCACCCAGCCTGGAGACCCTCTTGACAACATACATCTGGAATTGCATGCAGATGCTGACTACTCAAGATGTGTTGACACTCCTTTGTTATTTTGATAACACGCCTATGTGTATCAAAGAAGAAATGAAAGAACATGCTTACACCCTGTACCTTTGGATAAACCGCATAGATTTGACTCGTATTTTTCTTTCTTGCGCGGCTCTCCCGCGCCATGGAGCTGCGCATCCAATGCCTCAGCGGCGAGAGCCTGGAGATCCAGGCGCCGTTGCAGTGGACCTGGCGCGATCTCAAGGCCTTAGACCCGCGCCGGGTCGCGGGAGGTCCAGCTGTATTCCCAATGTAACCCGTTTCTTTTTTTGAGAAAACACCCCCTCCTAAAAATAGACTGAAAACAATGGTAGCCTTATTCTAACCTCTCTACTGGAGGACCTAGGGGTGTTCAATCCGTGGAATTCGGTTTGCTCTGCGGGTTTTGCTCTGCTCAGCGTTGCCAGGTCGGATGTTCATTTGTGGCTTTGCAGGTTTGACTCAATCAGTGGTAGGTTTGGTTTCGCCGGTTTGCTTGATGATTGAAGCCAGGAAGGCTTCGCAGTTTTGCTTGCCGCAGCCGAGCTGCGAACACATGTTTCAGGTTCTTTTGGGCTTCCCCTTCAAGCCGTCCACAACGGGGGTTGACTTGTCAAAGAGCTCCATTTGTTGCCTCCAACTAGGACCGTGTGACGAGCGTTGTTTCGCAGATTTGCTTGATGTCTAAGAATGATTTCTGCGGTTTGCTTGGTTGTTTGCTTCCTGTTTGCTCATTGTTGATCATTTGTTTGCAAGTTTGGCTCTTGTTGGTCATGGTTTCGCACTGGTTTTTGTGGCAAGCCGAGCGCCGGAGGTCCACATCAAGTCTGAGTGGGGCATCGATGAGAGGCAGCAAAGACTTGCCTACGGCTCCACGCTGTTGGACGGCAGCACGAAAGTGGTGGACGACTTGCGGCAGCTGGCGCCTGATGCCGACAACTTGCAGCCTGGCAGCGAGGGCGTTTTTGGCAGTGTTCCGAGACTTGGCAATGTAACAACACACTTTCGGGATTCAGGTTGCCGTTTGAGCCAAGGGTTGGGCTTTGTCGACTTTACTTGTCCTGTTTGTCTTGGACACACCCTGCCGCGGCTTCAAGTGTTTCTACGTCCCATGCCGGTCCCTTCGTCCTCTCAGCTATGAACGTGGCGAGTTCGGGAGCCTTTGACCCAGGTAAGAGTTTTGACCATGCAAAACCCGGATTCGAAGCCGAAAAAAGCCCGGTTTTGACACACGCACGCACGCACGCACGCACGCACGCACGCACGCACGCACGCACACACACACACACCCACACCCACACCCACACCCACACCCACACCCACACCCACACACCCACACACCCACACACCCACACCCACACCCCGCCACGCACGCACGCACGCACGCGCGCACGCATGCATGCACGCACGCATGCACTCACAGGGGTCTTCTATTCCTCTTGCATTGCTTAAACATCACCTATTTGGTCAGTGGAACCAACGTTAATTGCAAAGGAACCTCATGACTAACCGTCAGCAATCTGATCGAAGGAGCGGTTTCGTTTTCCTTTGAAACAAGCCTGTTGTCCCTCTAAACCAGCCCTTTCTGGGGGGTGGGTCCCCTTTGTTTTTTCCATCCAAACTGGACTTTGGGCTGGTTTAAGTAATGTACCCATCCAAAAACTGAGCTGTGGCTATCTCTTCTCGTGAGGGCCCTGACGCTGTACAATAAATCCCCCGCCTTTGTGTCGGCCTTGGAAGCCGTGCAGAAAGACGGGCTGGAGCTACAAGGGCTCTCCGAGGATGGGAGTAGCTTTGGAAGGGAGCCAAACTCGAAGCTGGGGTATCCGTATCCATTGCTTTTAAATAGGGAGCCTTCCGGACATGGTCCTGGTAGGTATGTTGGGGAATTCTGGGAACCCTGGATTCATCAACCCCCGTTTACTAAGAGGGGGGTGGTCCTGGGTGTGGAGAATCGCTTGTGGATGGGAACACCCCTATTAGGATGGGTTTACCAAACCGGGGGGGGGGGGGGCTCCACAAGTTTGGTTGCGTGAGATCGTCGTTGGGGCGTTCAGGCATAAAGGTGTTGGGATCCCCGATCCCCTTGAAAAAGCCGGCCATTGGGGGGGGTCTCCAGAAAAGGAAACCAGCCATAATTTAAGAGGAAGGAGGTCCGGTGTCAGCCTTCAAATTCTTATCAGGCCTTGGGTGTTAGGCGGCTTGAAGTCTTAAAGCCAATCCCCGTGAAGCCCTACGGATTTCCTGTTTGGGAACCTCCCATTGCAGAGAACCTTTAGGGTTTGGTGCCTGTACTTCACGATCGGTCAGGGGCAAACCCCGACAAGGCCAGCTTCAGTGTTTCAAAAGTACGGGAAGCCCTTTGAAATGGTGATTACAGGAAAAGCACGAGGATGCAAACCACGTTCAGCATGGTTTTGTTTATGATATCTTTAGATCGTGCCACCATGTGGGTTTACTCCACTTGGAATTTGTTCACGCATCATCGTTCTGCTTTTGAGGTGTGTTAATTGGCGTAGTTGCTTCACTTTTTCTTGAATTGCCGTCAGCAAGAGTTCTTGTGCTAGTGTGTCTTAGTATACCCACCTGGGATTTTCGAGCTTCAGGCCAAAAACTGGATATGTGTCGGGGAACCCAACAAGTTGGTTTTTGTTTGGTCCTTCGGTTTCCCTTTGAACCTTGAAAAAGGGTACCTCAGACACGAGGAGCTCAAGGCCGACCGGGAGATCGTGCTGCCCGCGGTGAAGCAGAACGCTGCTGCCATTTGGTTTGCCCAGGAGTCCGCCGGTTCGCTAAATGCTGTGAAATGATCTGAATATATATATATATATATAGAGGTATGTATATATTCATATATATATATAGTTAGAGCACAACTTTCCCGTCTTTTTAATGCCCCCCCAGCCGGCTAACCTCCAAAATCACACTAAAAGTTATGATAGATATGGCGTGTTCAGTTTTATTTATTGCCCGCGCCGCGGCCAACCTCCAAAATCACTCTAAAAGTTATGATAGATATGGCGTGTTCAGTTTTATTTCTTGCCCGCGCGACGGCCAACCTCCAAAATCACACTAAAAACTATGATAAATATTATAAGTATTTATCATAACTTTTTGCTGTAAGTTATTGGGCGTGGTGCGCCTTATGCATTTTCTTCCCTAGATGGTCTAGGGTTTTGCAGTGCCTCAACTTTCCCATCTTTTTAATACCCCCCCCTGCCGGCCAACATCATACTTTACTACATACTTTTCATCACAATCAACCACATCAACTCTATTTTCAAACAGCAAC